ATATATTATGTTGAGGGCATATGATGACATATGCCCCTTCAAAATCAGCCATAGGAACTCCTACCGTCCTTTTGCAATCCACATATATGGTCCCCCTTAAGTAGATAAAATATGGGGTGTATGTGGATCTTATTATAATATACCCACAGCCATATTCTATCTACTTAAGGGGGACTAGGTGCTCTTAGGGTCGCTAGACAGCTTTCTTCATTTCTGGGCAGCGTACGTAGAGCTCGCTGTTGTATGCAAGAGAAAAGGCAAATAAGCATGAGGATCTTTTAAATAGAAATGTCTATAACCCCTATAGAACTCTTATCTAAACCCATATCACCCCCACATAACCCAACCGAAAACAATCTTTTGTGCTGTTTCTACACCCCCAAAGCATACTCTTTCATGGGGGCTACATGGCCCAGGCCTGGTTTGGGATGGTTGGGTGCAATTACTGGGTTGCTGTTAAGAAACTTAATTTAAGCTGCTATATTGGGGAAACCATGGTATTTACAATATATATATATATATAATTTATTTTTAAGTTCCTTATCAGCAACCCAGCTATTCAGGCATGGGTTTAGGGTTTAGGTCCTTCGTAGCTTAGAGGGGGGGGTGCAGACTTAGGGGGCCCATGCCAGTTCCCTGACTCTTCTCATCCCTGCCGAGGGCAGGGCCGCAGCGCCGGTAAGCGCACCCAGAAAATTTTGAGGCTGCGTCGTGAGAAAACCTCAGGTTGTTGCTTGGGCTTTAGGTTTCTGAAGTTTAGGGTTCTGGCAATTCAGTTCTCGGTCCCTCAAACAGCTTTTGGTAGGTAGAATTTCAGTGGGGTCATGTAGGGACGGAGGCTTTGGCCGTTCTCGAGAAATTACATGCCTGCATACTCGTCTTTGGGGGGGGGGGGGTACAGCAATGGGATGCTGATCTAAGAAACTATCCAGGGTGCCAGGCCTGCACCCCCCCATGCCTTAAGGTCATACGAAGGTTCCTCCAATATGATCCCAACATAGCCCTGTTGTGAACCCATTTCAAAGGACACAGTAATGGGACCTGAATTTTGCATATCTACTAGGTTCCAGCAACTGCGCATGTAAGAACATCAGGCACTTGTCGTAGTATTACATCGCATGCACCTTCTCCGTTTTTTTGATTTTTCGAAATGGCCACAAATTTTCACCAATGACCCAGAAATAGCGGTAAGTCTCTGGAAGTTGAAGATCATACCCGCGGGTGCCTAACTCAAACCTTCTGATAGGAACATGCGAAGCTGAATCCTGGAATCCAGCCCCCCAAAAATGTCTAAACCCTCGAAAATATGGGCCGAAATGACTATCAATACCATGTCGAGGTTCAGAGGTACCCTAGACAAAAATTGTACGAGGAACCTAGGACCATAACATTGGCAGCTATTTCGGCCCCTACATCAGGCAAGGTCTGGATGCTGAATGCAAGCGAGATGCTTCGCCCAGCTTGAAAACAAAGCCAAGCATTTTGTGGAGGATCCTCAACACACCGTGAGACCCTAAACCCTAAACCCCTAAACCCTAGTGATCCCTAGCTTGACTCCAGGCAATTCTGTGTGTAGTCTGGAAGAGGGTCTTCCTTCATCCCCCTTGTAGCAATCCTTTTATCTGGAGTTTTCGTTCGTTTGAGAAGCCCTCCCTTGCACTTGTCTAATTGGCGTCAGCTCAACTGGAGAAAGCCAGAGAGAGAGAGAGAGATATGTGAGAGAGAGGCAGAGCCAGAGAGAGTCAGAGAGAGAGATCCAAGGGGTACCCTGAGGCTCACAAGTAAGAGTTTCCAAAAATGGGGACCCGACTAAAATCCGTGTTCTGGACTTCAAAAGGGATCCCGTAGTTGCTGGAAACCCTATCCCCTAAAAATCGCTGTATGTTCCCCCTATATGACCCTGATGCAGTATGATGCTTCCCGTGGTCAAGGATGTTGGTTTCTTACCCTGAAGCCTTTACGCTGCCCACATGCACCGCCAGATGTCTTCGGGCCAATGATCCTAAACCCGAAACCCTAAACCAGGTCTAAGGTTTGCAAGCTATGTGTGGGCTACCGTCCCCATCCTCTAACAGTCTTTAGTCCCCCTTAAGTAGATAGAATATGGGGTATATGGGGATCCTATTATAATATAGTAGCCAAAGCCATATTCTATCTACTTCAGGGGACTATACATTATATGAGGGGTCATATTCAGGGCTATTTGTAACAATACCATAAATATTATCCAGCGGGGTGGGGGTGGAGGAGCTCTGGATTAGGGGGCTCGAAATAGTTAGCCTGGGCCCTCAATAACGAAAGCATCACCAGCACCAACAAGAGTGATAGCACATAGGGTAACTATAGCTGTACCACCAAAGATTCACGCATGCACCAGCACGGCAGTAACAGAAAGTGCAACCGAGCTTCCGCATCGAACGTGACCTTGGTATTCATGAAAAAAGAAACTCCTGCAAGCCCCTGCGCACATCACACACACCTGACTGCGGACCCTGCTAAAAAGACCCAGGAAACTATACACTCTTGTCACCAGCCCTTGCAAACAAAGGGATCGGAATGCCAAGGAAGAACTGCGGTAGCAGCCTAAGTAAATACCAACATCATTCTGAGGTATAATTCTAGTACCCTATATCACATTTATACATTGAACCTTGGACCAAAATTTTGGGAATCTAACGACTTGAAGAATCCCCCCAGTGGTATTCCTGTATAATCCCTGTCAGTCCCCAATCTGCCACCAGTACCCTAGACCCAAAACTCCAAACCCGAAGCCCCAAACCCTAAACCCAACGCCCCGAAGCCCTAAACTCAAAGCCCCTAAATCCTAAACCAGAACATCCTAACTTGAGCCCAATTTTGGGTGAAGCCCCACCTCCTTCTCCGTAATTCGGGGAGCACCGGCTGGAGGTAATCGAGGATGTGGAAGCCTTGCTTTGACGCCACATGGTGTTGGATTTTAGGGTTTATAGTCCCCCTTGAGTAGATAGAATATGGGGATATATGGGGTATATGGGGATCTTATGATAATGTACCCAAAGCCATATTCTATCTACTTAAGGGGGACTGTAGTTTTTCAGAGTTTAGGGAGTAGGGTTGCGAGCGGGTGATAGGATTCAGGCCCACTCCAAAACGCACGTCCTTCATGGTGCCTGATGATAGGGATGATACTTTGCCTTCGAGGGGTGAGTATCTTGGTGTTGAAACCCTAAACCCTAAACCCCTAAACCCTAAACCCTAAAACCTAAACCCCTAAACCCTAAACCCTAAACCCTAAATTCTGAGGTTTCAGGACTCCGCCTTGGAGAGCTGGAACAACCAAGCAAGCATCACCTCCCTCTGCCCGTATTCACAACCACAAAACCCCACTCATCCAAATTATCAACCTAAGTATTAAGTGCCCCTGAACCTATACCCCACGGTATCATGGTTTATTGTTTAGGGGCTTCTCAAAATCCTAGTCTAGTGACTTCAGGAACAGATAGACATGATAAGGAAATGATAGTTTTTTGAAGGACTGCGTAAGGGTTGTTCTGAAAAGCCCCTGTCATTTGCCAACCAGAACCCTAAACCCTAAACCTTAGCCTTGACCCCCAAGCCCTTAAAACACTTAAACCCTAAACCCTAAGCCTGAACCCTTAAACCCTTAAGACACTTAAACCCTAAGCCTGCCCTAAACCCTGATCCCCCCTTCCTTTATGGTACCTGTAACCCTGTCGTCTTCGCTTCCCTGAAAAGCTCTGGGGGAAGGCAGCAGCCTTCGACTGGTGCTTAAAGGAGTGGGGGAATGGATCCCTATGATAATCCCTATTTATATAATCCCCATATGTAGCCCTAGGGTTCAGGGTTTAGGGTACCTATTTTCACTCCCCCACCCTAAGCCCTAAACCCTAAACCCTAAACCGCAGTCACGCAGCTGGACAAGCACTCGCCGACTTGTCTTCGCTTCATCCCTAACCTTGGCGATCTGTTGCTGTAGGGAGGGTATATGGGTTTTAGGGTTTAGGAGGTAGGGTTTAAGATGTAGGGTTAATGTTGCGTAAGGGGAGGGTATAGGGTTTAGGATTTAGGATGTAGGGTTCGTGTTGCTTAAGGGGAAGGTGTAGAGTTTAGGTTTTAGGATGTAGGGTTACTGTTTCTGAAGGAGAGGGTATAGGATTCAGGGTTTAGGTGTGAGCTTTAGGTTCTTGTTGGTGCTCAAGGGGGGGTGCAGGAGTGAGTCCAGGTACTGTAAGAGGGGTATATTAGGGAACTCTGTGGACCATAGTCAAAACTCCTAGTATCCCCCGAATATCCCCATTAGTAGTCCCTATAATCCCTTCTATAACACCCTTTAAGGAATCTAGATTATGGGTCATATGGGAACAGAGGTAGGGATCCACTCCCCAACTGTTCAACTCCCCCCTGAGGTTTCGCTAAGTTGGCTCTCAAAGTTCGACTCGGCATGGGAGGTTCTGTGAATTGGGGCATCTAACAGACTGCGGGTATGTATGCGGCCCCCACTCAGGATTCTAGAAGGGTAACTTTGAGGAAGTTCACCGAATTTAGTCTTTTAGGTTCCGTAGCGCTTGTATCCTCTTACAGGCAAACATGGAACTCCAAATAAGCCTTGTCATGAGTCCTGTTCATCTTTTTACAGAGCGCTGCTTCAGGTTTCATATTATGGTTTAGGGTTCGAAAGCAGTCAGAGTTAATTAAATGCGTGTTTCTCGTCCAGAAGTTGCTCGCAGAACCCCTAGGTAGGCACATGGCGAACCACTCGTGTTCTCTCTGCTGCAACCCGTCATAGCCAATATCTCTAAGTTCCCTGGACACAGGACAGGCAGACAGTATCATGTCAACAAATTCCGAACATCATACATAACAGAAATTAAAGATAGCTGCCGGGGAACTTACAACCGTGGAGAAGCATAGATTATAGGATCCAGTCTAGGAGCACCGAGCTCCCAATAAACCCTATAAACCCTAAACCCCTAAAAGCTAAGCCCTGCAAGCCTAGAAGCAAAGTGCTCAATCACTAGCTTCGGCAAGCCGAGTTCACTCTTGAAGTGAACTGTCATGTGGCAGGGGTAGGCTCTGGCCATGGCGTATTCCTAGGCTTAGGGTTTTAGGGTTGAGGGATTAGGGTTTAAGATTTAGGGTTTAGGGCTTAAGGTTTCAGAAGCTCTTGGATTTCTAGGGTTTCCAGGGTTTTTAGGGTTTATGCGCTTGTGGGCTTACAGGGGTTTCGGGGCTTGGGGTTGCTGCTAGGTGATCGGAAAAATAACGAGGTGCTTATGACAAGTAGTGATCCCTGTCCGGGGTCCCTGAGGTACATAGACATGTTGGGAATGGCCTATCCAGAGACATCATAAGGTTTCCTTGTGTTGTTAGTTGCGCCTTCTTTCCGAAACTGCAGCCCAGATTCAAAGACGAATCCCAGAGACTTGTCGGTGGGCTCTTTGGCAGTGGAGGTGGGTTTGCTATAGCCAGGGTTGATATTAAAGTCCACTTTCACCACACTCCCCTTCTCTAGGGCGCCACCCTCTGCGGAGACAACCTTGAGGAAGGTGGTGTAAGAGCGTTTGCTTCCGCGCCCGCTGGACGTATTGCCATACTGGAGGACAATGCGCTGCGCATTCTGTCTCACTTCTGTCAGCTGCTGAAGAAGCCTCTTCTGCTCCTCCATGTCCGGGTCGCCAGCAGACGCCAAGGCTTCCGACTTTGCAAGCAGACCGTCAGATGCATCAGAGACCGGCTTACCACCCTTCACGTCCACGGTCGTCTCACATGCTGGGCACTCTCGCATGTAGCGCACGGTAAGCTCATAGCAGCAGGCGCACAGAGCACATCGGCAGCGTGCCAAGCGGATTGGCTGTAGCAGCACCCTCCGGCAATAGTCGCAGTGACTTTGCGAGGCCTCTTGTTCAAGCAATGCGGCGGCTTCCTTCTCCTCTCGAGCCTGTCGCTCTTCATCATCCTCGTCCCCTTCTTCTTCTGCTCCCTCGAAGAGGGGTATAAGAGGACGGCCTACATCAATTCTGGCCGGTGCTTCCTTCCCAGACTCTGCCTTGGGCTCTGCGGACGTTGTTGATGGGCCTGCCGCTCCCTCGCCCCCTCCCCCTCCCAGTCGTTCTACGACGACTTGTGCGCCCGGAGGACGGACGCGGGAAATCCTGCCGGATATCAGGTTCTCATACCTGAGATGTAAAAACAGGATAAACACGCTGAAGATTGCGTGCATTTCCCTGCTGAGACCTTCGCAAACAACATCTCTCAAAGTGATCCTTGACCGTATATTATAAACTCTAAGTCCTACACAGTTTCGTAAAGCCTCAAAGCCCCAAAACCCTAAGCTGACTCTGATGCAAGGGTGGCCCAGCTGCACGATCGTGTTGGTGCTTGGATCAAGCCTTGCCCTCCAGCTGTTTTCGTTTGGCTCCTTTGCTGCACCTGGAAACTGCCATGCTTCGAGGAACTCCATGGCATATAATTCGTAAGGTTATTTAGGGTTATAGGGTAGGGGGAGCCCAGAATAGACCCCCAAAATACGAGAATCCTCAGTATTGGGACCAAAAAAAGGTACCTGTTAGGAAGCCCAGAATTCCCATACGCAACCATAATCCAAGCTTCTATTTCGTTATCCATGTTCTTTTCCATTTGATTCTCCACCATAACCCGCTACATCCTCGTACACTCCTGAAAATAGCCCTATATAAAGGTTGACAAACTCCAGCCTGTCGCAGCCGGCTCATCATCAGCATCGTAACCTCCCCAAGCCTCGAACTCGTCGCCGTGTATGTCGTTCCTTTGGTGGCAAGAAGCTCAAAGCATGTCCTCTCCGCCAAATCACACATTGGTTCACAAGTGCATTCACCTTTGTAAGGAAAGAACCGTTCCAAACTGCCTGAGGCTTGAACTAAATCCGGTACAGCTCACATCAAAATCTGGATCCCGCTTAGGTCCTTCACCCTCTTGAATCCTTGATCCTTGCAAACCCTGAATCCTTAACCCTCCTTAGCCCTGAATCCCAATCCCCTCCCTAGACCCTAAAGTCTGAAATCCTTGAGCCTTAGGTCTCCTGAACCCTCAACCCTCCCAAACCCTAAATCCTTAACCCAAAGACCTTCATTCGTTCAAACCATCCCCAACCCCATGCCCCCAAACTCTTAGTAAATCCCCCCGCCCTAAACCCTAAACCCTGAATCGTAAATCCTCTAAACCCTAAACCCTGAATCCGGAATCCAGGCTCCAGCTGTTGAAGCCTCCCGCCACTCGGGTAAGGTCCGGAAGTTCCTATGGGATGCTGTCAAGGAACTCAAAGTTGAGGGGTTTAGGGGTTTAGGGTTGAGGGGTTTAGAGTTGAAGGGCTGAGGGGTTTGGGGGTTCAGGGTTCAGGGCAAATTCGACGAGAAGTGCTCTTGGATGTTTTCCCAATGGTAACTCCATTTGGGGTGAACCCTAAACCCTAAACCCTAAACCCTAAACCGCGTATAATTGGCCCAGACATGAAACAATTCATCCTGACATGGATATAGTCCCCCTTAAGTAGATAGAATATGGGTTGCATGGGGATCTTATTATAATATACCCAAAGCCATATTCTATCTACTTAAGGGGGACTATATATGGCACATGACTTGTGGCAGCTATTTTCCATTATGGCAACTTGACCCTAAGCCCCTAATAGCCCGTACGTAGCCCCTACACAACCCTTGATGAGCTACACTCAACATTTACTACGTAATTCGATGGACATGGGTTCCTTATTAGGGACTACATTATTAGGAACTAAATTACAAGAGGGGCCCTTATGTCCACTGCTCAGGTTTTTTTTTTTTTTTATTAAATAGGGCGAATATTGACAGTAGCTCATGTAAACCCTACATAAAGCCGTTCAAGTGCCTTCCTCAACTGCAATCCAGTCCTTGTCTCTTCGCCCTCCGAGCCTCTTGTTCTTCCAGGTGTGATAACCTGAAAGTTTCAGCCAAAATAGAAGGCTTTAAAACATTCAGGACGTGATTTAGGGTTGAGGGTTTGAAGGGTTTACGGTGGTTGCCAAGGAGGGACTATGATGTGTATTTTGTGGATGGATGATTACCTTTTATCTTTTCTAAAAAGAAGTGGACCCTTAGGGCAGCTGGGGAGTACAAGAAGATGATCTAGGGGCTACCTTGAGAAGCTCCCACCCTGCTCTTGCAAAATGACACCACCTTGCAAGGGTTTAAGGTTTTTAGGGGGGTACATCCTCCTTATCAGGCTTCTACATGAGCTATAGTCCAAACTCCTAGTATCCCCTGTTCATGACTCCCATAATACTCCCCCATATAATCCCCTATATAACCCCCTTTCAGGACTTTAGAGTATAGATCACATGCAGAAGCACGTGAAAGGTGACTCAACAAACAACCCTGCCACTGTCCCGGAGCATTGTGATCATCTCCTCACCCATGTGGTGGCACTCCCAGTCCTGGTTTGCTGTTAAGGAACTTAAATTAAGTCTTCATAATGGGTATGTGTAGTACATAATAGGATTTCCCCAATATGGCAACTTACAGTAAGTTCCTTAACAGCAACCCAGAATCTCCGTCTTTCGACCGGGTGAACTCAAAGTATCTGGGGTCCGGCAGATGGCGTCTCATCTGACGCCCCACGCTAACCTTAGCTGACTGTAGGACCCGTGCTAAAAAGATGAACTTTTAGCCGGCTTACTCTGATTAGTAGGACACCCAAGAACTTAAAGTCCAAAGAGCCGGGCTGAAGACAACCAAGCAACAGGGTGTCCAGCATCCTCCGTATCAAAAATTAGCAGGGTTGGCTGAGAAATGGCAACATACCGATGAGGAGCATGCCCAACCTGGGTTGTTGTTAAGGAGCTCAAGTTGAGTCATCACAATATGGGAGTTTCCCAAATTTAGGGGTACCATATTGGGGATCCCTATCATAAGGATGATAGTATTTTGGGGTCTATATTGGGGTCCCCTTATTTTGGGAAACTACCATATGGATATACCGTTGAAAATGTGGCTTCTTTGCAATTGTAATGCTAACTTACGTCAAAGTTCCGTAACAAGAGCCTAGCAACAGGATGGCAAACGGCAACAGTGTGCATCAACTTGGGACATTCAAGCGCGCAATTCAGTGCAGCGCAAGCTCCCTGGCTGGAGCCAACGAGGCAAGCCACCGTCTTACGCCCGAGGGCCCGCACAATGTTGGAAATCAAAGCACAGGGATACGATCTAATACTCCTGGGTTGCTGATGAGGAACTTAGACTAAGCTACCATGATGAGGTGAGGATCTATGTATACTGAATGAACGAAATGATCTCCTGGTCATAAATAGCTCAATTTAAGCACGTGTTGGGTGGGTTGAGCCAAGCGGGATGATAATCTGCTTTCTACAACAAGATCAGAGAACAGGCTCCTACGCTATGTTGTGGAAAATAGCATTCCGACCAACATACAACTGATTTGTGAGTTCTCAGAATGAAGGCTGCCGGTTATGTACCCACAAAGGGACCCATATTCTATATACATAACACATTCATAACCATACTCCATGATATGGTCACCCCTAAATTCCAAACCCTAAGCCTGAAACCAAATAAACGCCAACTTAGCTTGACTTCCTCCTGGGATAGATTTATGGGCCATATAACAATCTATTCTTGTATGGCGTTATAGGGAAACTGTTGGGACTATGGTCCATACTAAGTAACAACTATCATTAATAATTTCCATGTAAGCTAGCCTAGTTTCCATTGCATTTTCCATTTCCTCTTCTAGTTAGTTGATTCTGCAGTACTCCGGATACATCCCTATACAACCACCATATAATCCCCATTTATCATTGTTGCCTTCTCATTTTACAGATTCGTTTCCATTCGATTCTCCATTCTTGAGGGATATTGGCTCATTAGAGCTTGAGTTTCTCACGCCCTGAACCCGAAACTTTGAACCCTAAACCCTAAACTTTAACCCCTCAACCCTAGACTCTAAGCCCTAAACCTAAACTCTAAACTTTGAACCCTAGACCTTTAAACCCTACATCCTAAACCGAGACTCTGCCGGTCCCCCGGTGAGCGACCGTATCCAGGGCAGTCGATAGCCACATGGAAGTAGCTCTTTGGGCAGTCCTGACTGCCTCAACCATGTAAGGTTTAGGGTTTAGGGTAGGATAATTTGATAACCTGCTTTAGGGTTTAGGATTTAGGGTCTAGGATAAGTGGATAACCTCCTTTAATTTGAGGTTTAGGGTTTGGGGGTTAGGACTTAGGTTTTAGAAGTGGGGATTCGGGGTTTAGGGCTTAGGATTTAGGGTTTGGTGGGTTAAGGGCCAGCCACCAAGTCTTCACATGAGGTGCTCCTAGACAGTTTCTATGGAACCCGAAATATGGTGGGTTTCCCAAAAATATGGGTAAATTTGGGTGGTCCCTGTAATACACTTCTGGGGGTCCCTGTAACAAGGAGTATCGTATTTTGGGGTCTATATTAGGGTCTTCGTCTTGAAGGAAAATACCATATCATATTAAGTTTCTGGGGAGTATCACAAGGATCTCTTTTTGGAAGCTACCTGGGTACACGCTCCATTTTCTTGAGACATGAGTCAGGCCTTAACACAACCAGTGCTTTTTGGAAATCCTCATCTAACTCGACTCCTAGGGCTTCACATGGAACAGGACTCAAAGCTACCCCAATGGGAATATGATGATTCAGATTTTCCCCCGTGCTCCAGCACTATCACAGGCTACTACTTTCATACGTGGGTTTATAAGCAGACTAACTCAAGTTGCTGGACTTTTTCGCAGCCCTACCTTGCTGGGTTTGACAAGACGTTCAACATGCAAGGCGTTGCCGCAGCGCGGGCGTGAAAAACAAAAACAAGACGTCAAAATTTCCTGAGTTGTGCCGCAGCATAAATACACGCGTCTTGCTCAGCTTGTTCTTGTTCTTGGTACTGGAGGCTTTGCAACTCATTACAAGACATGTCACCCCATATGGACCTACTTTAGAAGTCACCTGGGCCTTCAAGTCTCTACATCGCTTACTTCCTCTACATTTCCCGCCTGCGCTTGCCAAAACTGCCACATCCACCACCAGCTTGCTCCAAAAGTTCGAGCTGTTGCAAGGCCCGGATCCGTGAACGTACAATATCCTTTCAGGAGGGCATTATAACGTTTATATGAGCTATAGTCTAAGCTCCTAGTATCCCCCCTTAATTGCCCCTAACATACTACACTATAACACCCTTTAAGGAATTTAGACTATGGTTCATATAGCAAATGTATAGGAGTACATGGGGTTTAGGGTAGGGTCTAGAAAATGTTCAGGTGCAGAATTACCAGGGGGGTACCCTTCCAAACGGATTATGTAAAGGCTTGCATGAAGAGACTCGCAGGCATGCGAGGGCTGTGTATCAAATTTATGGCAGGTAAGGGGGGTAACTATCCACCTGGAAATTCCTAAGATGTGGTTGATTCCCCGACCCATACTTATGTTCACGAGGGAAACTGGCAGTTAAATCAGGGTCCCGGCATACATGCATTAGAGATATTGAATAGGGAGCTTCTCACAGAAGAGGTACTCCTCAGGACCCTACGGATATGAGGAGGCTCTGAGGAGACACAAGGGTCTGCTTTAACCTTTTATGGCTTAAGGCTTAGGGTTTATGGGTTCAGGGTTTAGGGTTTGAGTCACATGACTGCTATCGAAATGATAGAACAGAACCAACCAGGAATGATGCGAGAGAAGCAAGGAGAAGAAGAATGGACAGCATGCGGCCTACGGTTAGCATAGTCCTTGGACAGGAAAGTGAGACATGCTACGACAGAGCGCATCAGACTGAGTAGTTGCGAAACCCAGGGGTGCCTCTCATGTACCCCACAAATCCTTAATATGTGAACCCTATGTATTCTTTCCAACCTCAATTACCTCATTTAACATGAGTACCTTACGGGAAGAAAAGCAGAGCAACCCTTAGTTAAAGGGGTTTATAGGGGTTATATAGGGACTAATGGAAGAGAACATGGAAGCTACTGTTTAGGATTTAGGGTTTAGTGGATAGGGTTTGGGGTTTTCATCCCTCCATGTAATATTGAACTCCCCCACCCCCCTTCTGATTCCCATTGTGGTATACTACAATATTCTAACGGTTTGTGGTTGGGGATTTGAATGTTGGGGAGGGGATGATCTTGATTCCCATTGTGGTATACTGCGATACTTTAATTAGTAGGGGGGGGGGTGCGGGTTTTAATTTCAATGCAGAGGGGAAGGAATAGCATTGACTCTTGCAGTTTTGTTGATTCTAAGTTGTCTGCGCCCAAAGAACTTCCATGATGGGTCGAGTATCAGGGGGTCCGCCGGGTTCCCGATGCAGCGGGCAAAGACATCACCAAAGTCGGCCGTCTCAATCCAAATGCATCGACGGTTCAAAGCGACGTCATCATCATCTACATCCGTAAGCATGGGGTCCAACTCAACCTGGGGTTTCCCAAAATTAGGGGTACCTTTTTTTGGGGGGTCCCAGCAGAAAGGATCACGGTATTCGAGGGTCTATATGAGCTATAGTCTAAACTCCTAGCATCCCCCTGAGTAACCCCTATAGTAGTCCCCTATATAATCCCCTATATACCCCCCTTTAAGGAGTTTAGACTATAGCTCATATTGGGGTTCCCCTATTTATGGGTCCAACTCAACCTCGGGACTTGGGAACTTCTCAGAGTCGGGGGCCGTTGTGGGCCCTGCAATTCAAGGGATTATAGGGGTTCCGGTTTAGGGTTTAGGGTTTAGGATTATAGTGGTTCCCTGTGAAGTATCGTAAAGATGCAGACATCCCTAAAGTGTAACTCCAAAGATGAAAGTAAGGTTTGGTTCCTGTTATTGTCCCCCTGAAGTAGATAGAATATGGCTTTGGGTATGTTAGAATAAGATCCCCATATACCCCATATTCTATCTACTTAAGGGGGCTATAACTATTCCCTGACCCCTGAACACCAACCCCGGACCCGCAACCCTAAGCCCTCAAGCGTAAACCCCAAACCCCTAGGCCCAAACCCTCAATCAAGCCTACACCCTGAATCTACAATGCCAAATGCTCAACGCGAAGCCCTACGCCCTGTACCCCACATCATGAACCCTAAAATCCAAGCCGTATAACCTAAACTTCAAGCCCCAGGCCCCTAAGCAAAAACAGCTCCAAGCCCGAACCCTAACAGAACCCTACAAACCAAGTCCGGAACCTCAAAACCTCAAATAGTAATTGTTCTTGCCCATCTGCTTCTCCATCATCCCTGTATACGCCTAAATAACCCCCCAACCATCCCAACCCCAAACCTTAAACCCTGAACCCTAATGCCTAAATCCCCAAACCCTAAACCCTTATCCCTACATGATCCATCGTCTAAACTCCTAGCATCCCCCTTAATAAGCTCTATGGTAGTCCCCTATATAATCCCCTATATATCCCCCTTTAAGGAGTTTAGATTACAGCTCACATGATCCCTGTTGACTCACATTATATCTCTACTGATCTTCCCTGCCTCGGTGGTGACTTTGGCAGCTTCAGGCTTTAGGATGACACTTCTCGCACTGGTGGCATACCTTACTTCAGGGTTTAGGGTTGAGGATTTAGGGTCCGGGGATTAGGGTTTTGGGGTTAGAGTTCAGATTTTAGGGTTGAGGGTTTAGGGTTCCGGGTTTGGGGCTTAAGGTTTAGAATTTGGGGTTTAGGACTTGGGGTTTTAAGGTTGAGATATGCTGGTTTTAGGGAATAAGGCTTTTGTCTTAGGATTTGGGTTTCAGATATCAAAGTTTAGGACAGGGATTGAGGTTACATGACTCATGCCGTGTTTTTTTGGGCGTCGGGGGTAGGGTGCTTGGAGTAAGGGAGTCAACATACGCATTGCTCTGAGGAATTCTCCGCTCCTTTCCTAACATAGGGACCCCACGCCCTAAGCGTACCAGTAGCACCAAGGTGCTTGAGAGTCTGCATTGTGAGTCCCGCCTCCACTTCTGCAGGGCTGACACAAGCCAGCCTGAGTAATGTAGGGGCTCGCCTAAACCCTATAATTGGAATGGGGCGTTAGGATGCCATACTATGATTGTCGTACAGGTATAGGGGGAGGGGAATAGTAATTCGCCAGGTAGTCTTCTTATGAAATACTACAGCCACAAAGCGATCAAACCGTTATACTTGGTACCGGGGACTAAGATATATCACATATCCTAGAGTGGGGTTTGGGGGCTCAGGGTGGAGGATGTTGGGGTGCAGGGTTTAGGGTTAGAGTTCTGGGTATTGCGTGTACGGGAAAGGCTTAGGTGTTGTACTGCTGACGTTAATGTCAGTCAACTGACCATGGCAGAAACAATAAACGTCAAAAGACGAACAACAGATTCGGTTGATATGTGAGGCCAGTCATGATGTAGTGTGGCTGAGAACTGGCATACAGCTTTCAGGTACTCCAAGCCCAACGCAAACTAGCTGGAGTGAGAGAATCCATGCACTTGAGCGCAAGTCCTATGCCTCTGTAAAGCGCGGTCTCACTTGAACGAATTCATCAATGTTAAAGTCCGCCCCCCATGCTCACATTCGCAAGGCGCTTCCCCCCAAAAGGGCTTCTGAAAGTTCACTTCCCAGGCCCCTGCCCTCTTGGAGACCAACGCTTCGTGTACGAAATTGCGAAGTCAAACATTAGTGGGGCACCTCTACACTCAAGCCTCCATAACTTGTGCCTCAAAGCCAGGCCCCAATCTACTCTACTCCTCATTATCGGGACCCCCAAAAAGGTAACCCTAATTGTGGGAACCCCCCCAGCTTCAGTAATGGCCAAGCAACATCTGGGTCTTGGCCTTGCCGCCCAAGCTGCTTTGCATGAGTCGCGTCAAGGTCGAGTCTCTGTATGGCACTCGCTCTGAGCCTGGTAAGAATAACAATAATATTAATACCAATAATAACAGTACTATGAGTAATAATAATAATAACCATAATAATAATAGCTTTGGTCCGAATAACAGTAATATTGATAAAGATAATAATAACAATAATAATAACAGCTTTGGTTTGAGCCTTCAGCGAGAGCGCGGATCACCCGGCCCAAGACGAGCAGGCCCATGTTTGTGCCCACGCCGGCAGCATCCACACTGCCACCATGTGAGCCTGTCTGTCCCGCACGAAAAGGGAAGCAATCTTAGTATAGTTCGTATATACATAACATGTACATGATCAACCAACTGATGTACTATAGCAGTGTGTTCCTGTATGGCGAATATTGCAGCACTGCCGCTTTCTTCTCCGTTGCCATTGCTACTGTGATTATGGTCCCTGTCCACATTATTACTAAGGTCATACTTACTTCAGCCCTAAAACCCAAAACCCTCACCCCTAAACCCTAACCCCTCACCCCTAAACCCCAACCCCTCACCCCTAAACCCTAACCCCTCAACCCGAATCCCTAAATAGTGTCATTACCCAAAACTTTAAAGCCGACTCAATCAGCTGAGCGAGGAACGCTCCATTGACTCGGCGCCCGCAAGGTCGACCAAGGTTAGGCGGGCAACCTGCGATCGATACCTGCAGTTTAGGCTTTAGGGTTTTAGGGTTTAGGTTTTAGCTGGGTTTAGGATTTAGGGGTTTAGGGTGCAGGGTTTGGGGGTTAGGGCTTAGGCTTTTGGGCTTATCGTTTAGGGTGTAGGGTTTAGGGTCGATACCTGCATATGTTAGCGGTTTCAAAAATTAGGGGGACCCAATATGGATCCCAAATTACCGTGGTCCCTACGGTAGCGTGCCCCAACATACACCCCCCCCATTTGCCTTCCATTATTTCTGTTAATGCTACTTCTATTACGAAAAGGAATGGGAAGCCAACGACCAAAAGTGTCGGGTGCGGCGCTTCCTGCTTTAGTTGTGACGAAAACTTGTTCACAAATACCATGATGGCTATTATTTCTTCTGCCGATGTTTCTGTTATTGTGCTTCCAACAGCAGAGCTGGATGGTTCTGGATACTTGTCAAAATCCTGTCCCTTGCTGGAGCACCCTATCCATGACTAGGAGGGCACCTTGCTCACGTTCTTAAGCATTTGCCTATAAAGCCCATCAGGCCCCGAATAACTCCTGCATAGTCTCTATAAGCCCTAAGCCCTAGACCCTGAGCCCTTTTCAACCCGGGTCTCTCTCCAAACTGCTGGGGCCCTTAGCCCTAAACCTACACCCTAGACACTACAAAAGCGGTGCCGTGTGGTTGTTGCTAAGCCGGGGTGCTTTGAAGGGTCCGCCTCTGCAACGTCGCGCCAGCGGTGCTCGATAGACATAACGAGAAGGGCATGAGACCTGGTCCAGAGGCCCCAAAAGCACGAAAGCACGAGGATTCCACCTTTCAGGTCCACCCCAAGGTGTCTCTCGTAAAACCATTTGCAGGGGATCCGGCGGTTTAATGGCCTTCCGGCTGGCAATGAATTCTAAACGGGACCATATCTCCAAGCGGGGATTGATTTATCGAGTTCATATAAGATGCTATAGGCAGCGTCACACAAATGGCCACTGTTCATTACTGCTTTTGAAGAACGCGCACATGATTCTTCAATGGTGGCCCCAGGGACCTGGATGAATGAGCATGGACGCCTGTGGCTGCCGTCGCGCGTGCCTTCGCTCCTCGCGCTACGACATCCAGCAGTTGCCTTGTTGCTTGGAGGGTCAGCGGGGCTTGGTAGGTTAATAATCCAAAAGAAAATGGAAGCTACCATACTACTTAGGGCCTAGGGTTTAGGGTTTAGGGTCAGTGGGGCTTAGCAGGTAGGTCAATAAGTGGGTAGCTGGGATTGCTATATGGCTTATAACGGTTATACGTGTACTTACTAAGTTCCCCTGATCCCCCAAGTGGCTCTTAGTGGAGTAATAACGCAAAAGAAAATGAAGACTACAAGTGTATAGGCTACTACAGGGATCCATGCCTCCATTCCGTACCCTCAATACTCAACCCTGAATACACATTAAATAGATTTAAATGGGGGTTTCCCAAATTAGGGGTACCCTTTTAGGGGTCCCAATAATAAGGACTATAATGTATTGGGGTCTGTCTTGGGGTTCCCTTATTTAGGGAAATTACCAAATAGTAGCTACCAACAAACGGTAAGCTGCTCGCAAGACCGAATCTTCTCTTCCTTTGCTCCATCTGCGTACACTCGGCCATCGGTTGTCTCTCGGAGTTGACAAGCACTTGCTGGATCCCGCGACGCCGAAACTGGTCCGCTTAGCAGGTCGAAAGCATTCTCGCAGAATACCTTCGGATACTCAACGCATAACATACTAGTGTTTAGCAGGTTATAAGGGAATATAATCTCTATATAATCCCTGAATAGTATATTCCCATTTCCCTACTAACCAACACGAAGAAACCTTTTTGGGAACCGAATTTAGGAGCAATTCCGTGGCCCTTGGGGACGCTAGTTGATCCCCTTCCCTACTGCTAAACTCCCCCTCCATGATCAAAACAACGTTCCAATACATCCATGGGCGGGTACCCTTTTAAGAAAGCCCCATATTGCTTTAACGTTTTTCACTGAACCCCAGGCCCTCATTCCTCAAGCCCTGAACCCCTAGAACCCAGACCCCCAAAAAGCTTGAACCCTGAGAGCCGAAAACCCTAAACCCCTAAACCCTAAATCCCGAGGCCCTAAACTCAAACCCTCAACCCCCAACCTGGAATCGTGAAAGCCCCCTAAACCCATGTGGAGGTTTCCAAACCAGGGGTCCGCCTTACATAAATTTCAACATGCTAAACTCCTTCTTCCATTTTCTTTTCCATCCCCTAATATATCCCGATATGCTGCTCATCAAATCCCTATACCTAAGCCCTAACCCCTGAACCCTGAGCCCTAAACCCTAAGCCCAAAACCCCAAAACCTACGCTCTAAACTTACTCTAAACCCATAACCCTAAACCTTAAACCCTGAACCTGTACCCTAGCCCCTAAGCCCTAAGCCACCTCCAAAAAGGAAACCCGCACTTCGTAGGCGGAAAAGCCCCCGGCTCCAATGGCGGCCTTGGCTTCCGCCTCCAGGAGTACATTGGGTTTAGAGTTAATTAATGTTTAGGGTTTAGGTTTTTCAGGGTTTAGGGTTCAGGGTTTAGGGTTTTTTGTTTAAGGTTTAAGGTTTAGGGTTTATGTCATGGGGAGTGAGGTTTATAGGGACCATGCAAGGATTACATAGGGATTATACAAAAACTACATAGGGTTATGTGAGGGTCATAGGGGTTACGGTTTAGAGTTTAGGGTTTAGAGTGTTTGGCGTTTAGAGTTCAGGGGTTGGGATTCTAGGGTTTTCGGGTTTAGGTTTGGGGCTTTCGGGTTTGTTATGGATCATTTGGGGGTAAATAGGGATATTGGAGAATCAAATGGAACAGAATGTGAAAATGATCTGGAAACTGTGGGATTATGGGGATTTAGGGTTTAGGCATTCTAGGTAGGTGAAATGCGAAAAACTAGTGCTATCTAGAATAGCAGGTATAGGTTACAGCCTGGCTATAGCTTGAGTGTTTTTCTGCCTAGATTGAGGTATACTGGTTCACGGCTTAGAGGTTCGCATTTCGATCTAAGGCTAAGGCCTAGGGTGCAGAGTTTGGGGGTATGAGTTTCCACGGTTTCATGCAGGCTCCCTGAGCCCTGAAAACATAGTAAACCCTAAACCCTAAAACAACAAAATCCAAAGGGTTTTTACGCACTAAAGTATCTGGGGCCTCCAGCCGAGCGATTCGCCGGAAGAGCTCGGCTGCCGCCCGGGGAAGAATCCCATCCTCGCCAAGGTTCCAACTTAGGTTTAGGGTTCAGGGTTCATGATTTAGGGTTTAGGGAGTTAGGGATTAGGGGTTTAGGGGCTTAGGGTTTAGGGATTTAGGGCTTCAGGATTCAGATTCGGCTAACAGGAATCATAAGATTATTGGGGGACTGTGTACAGGCCATAAAGTCATTTGTATTTCGATGAATGCTTCTTGAACATTCAACCAATTGAGAATCCGTTCTTCTTACAAAATACCACCAACGAAAAGACCAAGGACCGTAGCGCCGGCCGCTTAAAGTGCTACTCATTGCTCACAATTGAGGGTCCATGTTTATGTACCCCGAACACAAGGATCCGTGCTTTCAAGACTCCAAAATATGCTTGCTATCCAGATCGACAAGGAAGCAGCTGAACTGTGATACATTACTGTTATTCAATCTGTCATTCGCAGCGTGATTACTCTGATTGCTTTTGTTGTTACTTTTTCCATTACTATTATTCTTGCTTCGCCCCGTCCTGTCTGGCTTGCTTGCGCCCGCCCTCTGGACCAAGCATGGAATGCGTCTTCCCCGCGCCCGTGCACCCAAATGCAAAGATGCAAGCGTTCGTCCCGCTGATCACGGCATCGACCAAAGGCAAGGCGCAACATGTGTACACCTGGCGGTTTCCCAAATTTAGGGTACTTTTTGGGGAGCCCACATGCTAAGCATTGTAGTATTTTGGGGTCTATACTGGGGTCCACCCATTCATGCGCACTACCACTTCCGCCCGGCAAAATTTCACAAGCCGTCACGAATCCGCTGCTGCACGCATCGACGGCAAATGTTGACACACGTCTATGCGCTCATGTGATATACGTATGTGTATGCATGTAAGGCATACTTTGATGATAGTTTCCCGAAGCCCTGACCTGGAGCACTAAGTCATCTTTGCTACTTTCCCTACATCGGGCACCCCAATTTCCACACCCAAATACTCAAATCCTTGCTATGGGTACCCCCACAAAGTCATCCCCGAATTTGGGAAACTCTAATCCCTTAACCCTATATGTCCCTATATACACCCCCCCCCCCTTTTAAAGGTACCACCCAACAAATTCGGGAAATCCCCAAGACATGTTTGTCTGCATCATCGAGACCCCCCGCCTCATGCTGCGTGGCTTCCTCAGTTGGAGTTGGAACTTTGTATTATTATTATTATTATTGTTATGATTGTTTTTACCACTATTACTACTGTTGGACCCTCTTTAACCTCTGGCCCGCCCTCGAAAAGTAGAAAATGGACGTCCTGAATAAGGACCCCGCGGTACTGAGGGCCCCGGGAGGCCTTGGAGATTATTTTAAAAGGGATGGTCTGGATTCGGTCCCGTATTTTTAGGGCCCAAAAACACATTAAACAGGACCTTCGCAACAATGGCCAGATCCTGAATAAGCGGCGGCCGAAACACATTCAACAGGGCCTCTTCACTAAAGTGAGTGCAACATTACTATGATGTATTTCATTGGTATCTTCATTCCTACTATTATTATTACTATCATTATGACTACTATAATTACTGCTAATATGATTCTTACTAATAATATTGCTACTGCCAAAATGACACGGCTTGGGAGGGCTTAGGGTAAAGGAGGATTTAGGGTTTAAGCGTACTTAAACAACTACATACTCCATGCATCAAGGACCGAAACCGAACTAAGAAAGGCCAAACCCTAAGTCACCAAAACAACTACAATATTCCAGTGTAAAGCCCTGAGGAGCGCAACCTGACGGCAAGGAGAGCTCTGCTTAATCATTTAAGCTTCAGCCCCCCCTAAAAACACCCCATACAAACACTCACAAACATTCCTACGAATTCTATAAACACCCACAGCAGAAGCCAGAAAGTTGGAACATCAGTCTCCCTGCACGCCCAAACTTAGAAATAGGGGAGAGTGGCAAAACATCCCTTTTCCATCGTCCGACTGACTGTGCGAAGGTAGAAGCCTGAAAGTTGGCCGTTGGCCTTATATAGGGATATAGGGCTATATTAGGGTCATATTGGGGTTACATGAGGCATTCATTTACGAACATGATAGAATTTGCAAGCTGTTTGCCTTTCTGACTTTGGAAAGCAGGCCGTCTCATGTCTTGCGTGGCATGTTCAGGCCTAGGTCCCAGATTAAAATGGCAACCCTAAAGCCTAAACCCTTAAACCCTAAACCAACTGTCAACGTGCCTGGGCTTCGACTGGCAGATTGGGCACTTCAGGCTGCATTGTGCTACAGACAGACCAGAGTGCACCTACAGCTCCCAACAGGAAAGTGATCTTCAAAGACCTCCCTTCCGAAACCTTCGGACCCCGCTTGTTCAACCAAACGCCCCAAAACCTGAACTGCGGCATCTCTGTCTAATCCCTGGAGAACCAACCCAATGTGACATGCTCCGGAACCGTGTACGCCTTGAAATTATCACACCCAACGAGATCCAAGCGCCATAGCAATCCAAGCTACACTCTGTTTATATGGGGATTCATTAACATAACTGAAAATAATTGAAAATTAAATGGAAATCGCAATTTAGAATTTAGGGTTTGGTTTGGGGAATGAACAGCTCCCCACGAAGATCAAAGAATGCTGAGCTCCGTTCGCACTGCTGGATGTGCGTGTGGCCATAGAAGTTCAGTACGCGTTTCGTTGCTGCCTGGCAGCCACGCCCGTGCTAGGGACTCAAATAGTCTCGCAATTTCAGGAATCCGAAAGGGGATTGTAAGGTCTAGCGTATCGAGGAATAGGATCCTTGTGCTTATGGAGCTTTGAGCGCTGAAGCGTGGGAGAGTAAGCCTTTCAGAAAAGCATTTGTCGCTATGACAGCTTGGGGTCTCATCAGAGTCCTTCTGAAGGAAAAATGGATCTTGGACTTTTCTTGGGGAACGCATGAGAGAGCACGATGCATGATCAGAAGGAACCCTACTCAGGGTTGCTCATGCGGGGTCAGGTTGGCAAAGCTTCAGCTGGCGGATTGGAGTCTGGTCTTGTATGGTGTTGCGTGTTGGTTTTGCTGCATTGAGTTGGGCTACCTCCGGATTTAAGCAGAACATCTAACTCCATGCTGGCTTCATAACTTCTCGATGAACTCAGTCAGAGATTGCATCGGATGTGTAGATTTTGTTTGCGTCTTAGGCTTAGGATTTCCGTGAAAAGAGCCCAGAGCTGTCCTTGTTGCTTTTCTGACTCCGTATGGGGGGGTGCTTTTTTTGGAATCCCCATAATAAGGACCCTCGTATATCGGACTTTTTTGCGGGACCTTATTTTGGAAAACTACAAATTATTTCTCACAACGGGGACCTTGCGTTTGCCGACTGGTAAGCTGAGCAATTGTCGCAGGCAGCTCTAAATAGTAGTTTCCATTTTCTTTTCCCATCATCCATATACAACCCCTATATAAGCCTATAATAATGTAGTGGTTTCCATTTTTCCATTATCCCAATGTTGGCAACAACCAGCTGACCCGACAGTGGCAGCAAGAAGAACCACAAGAGCAAAAGGATCCGAGCCCCAAACTTGCATGGATCACCAAACCTGTAAAAACTATAGACCTGCTAAACCTGGGGTCGTTTATCTCAAGGAGGGTATGCCTAAGCTCTTAACCCTACACATCCCTATGTACCGTGATATACACCCCTTAACCATAAACCCTAAACCCTAAACTCCATGGGGTTCCTTTGAAGAATTGACCCATTGCCACCCCGGAAGCCTGCTCGGCATGCATCCCCGTGAGGAAATTGTGTCGAAGGTTGATTCCTGCTTGATGCGCGGTCTAGGATTTAAGTTTTGCTCGGTTTAGGGAGATTGCTGGCAGGTCGGAAGATGATGTTTCCATTTTCTTTTCCGTTATCCCTATATAACCCCCTATATATAACCCCACATAACCCCTAAATAACCCCTATATAACCCCATTGGGGTTTTACTTTTGTGGTTTTGGATCCTAACTTCCAGGCTTCACGGGACAAGAAGGGTCTGGTATCACCAACGAAGGACATGAAGGGACCCTACAAGGCATATAGTAAGCCTAACCCCTATATAACCCCCAGAACAAAGCTGTGGAATCTCCGGACTGGTGGATTTTGTCCAAAGCTGCGAGACTCCCGTTTAGTGAATATCTTTCATGCGAAGAACTCTCAAGTACGAAAGGATGCGCAAGTACTTCTTCATGCTCGTCCCTGACCATGCCATGTCAAGACACGAGACGGACATGTTGAAGCTTCAGATGTGCTAGGCCAATCGGCGACGCCAGGTTGACAACTGGAGTGAAGGTAATGCTCGGACCAACATGGGAAGGCAGATTTGGGAGTCTTCAATGGAGATCCTCTGCATAAACGTTCGCAATAGCTGAGGGCAGCCAAGACAAGAAACGCAAAGTTTGACACCAGGACATTCTGAACCGCAGTACCAGAATGGCCATGAGAAGCACGGATGACAGCCCTAACCCTACACCAGCATCATGGACCAGCCGCAGCCTTCTTGAGCCCAGTCGGGATAGTGACTGATAATGGCATAGTTGGTAGCGTTGGCAGCCTTGCAGCACAGCTCAAACTTTTTCTCAGGTCCGCCTTGTTGACGCAGCAAACAGCCTACCCAGAAGTCCTTTTCACTCACCCACGAGGCCACCCCTTAAGCTTTCAAGGCCCCAAAAGCAAAACCGAAGGCCCCTTCTTACCTTGCTCAGCTTACGCAAGGCGCTGAACTGAACGGTACTGTGGGGGAAGGCGCGTGGAATCTAGGCAGGTTCGCTCAAAAACGACCGAGACAAGAGGCAACTTCAACTGCAAAATACATCTGACCAGGACTTGCGCCAAATGGAAAGCATACCTTTAGTGGCAAATGGAAATACATACTGAGAAACACACGCAAATGCGCGATTGATTGGATGTGCCAATGTTTAGGATAGACATGGACTGTGTGCAAGCTACTGTCAAGGGAAAAAAAGAGTCGTTTGAGCCTGCTTGCTTGACCCCACGCGAGCTTCGCATTAGACATGTGAACTGACAGCAAAGCTCCACCAAACCCAAAGCACTCACCGTCTACAATTCCCAATTCCCAAAAACACCGCGTGAGCCTTAAGCCCAGAGTCACAACGAAAAACAACGGCATGCAGGAGCAAAATTTGGTAAGAAGTAGTCACAGCAGTCCATAGCAGTAGATACGGCTATATACGGCTGTAATCATCGCAGCGGCAGTCCTTGATTGATGCCAAATTCCAGATTCGAGTTTGCCCTAAACACGACATCCTGAACTTCAGCCCGCTAAAACTGCGCAAACGTCGAGCCTGTGCCCGCTCGTTGAGAATCTGAGCAAAGCAGTAATGCAATGCGCTGAGGCTTGAAATTTTTCGCACCCCAAGGGACGTGGGTTCTGAAGGGCTGGGATGCTGAATGCACCGCAAAAAGCTGACAAGGAAAGAGCATTTCACGTGATTTCACGTATTCAGCCTCAGGGGCCTTAGGGCAAGTTTCAAGCTGAGCAGGGTGTTTCCAGGTGAAGGTCTTGGGGCAAATGTGCATAAGCTGGGGCTTTAAGCATGCAAGTCCAGCGTAAAGGCCGGCAATCTGTGCTGCTGCATGATGAACCCTGGCTCAGGCTCTTCTATTTAAGGCTGCCTTTGCAAGAACTTCTTAAATAGCTTGCAGATACCTGGATTATACAAGAATCACATCGGAAGTACCTCAGGATTGCAAGAGTGCGTCCCAAGCAGCACCACTTCATGGACGCTCTCCCGGGAAGTCTCGAGAAAGATCAGCCACAGTGCTTCTAGCAGAAATACAACAGCTAGATGTTTGACCGCATGCAACAGATACCAAAGGGAAGAGAAAAAGACTTGCAAATTGATCTCCGGAAAAAAAAGCCTATGTGTCCCAACTCAAAGCCAATCCTGACCCGTGTACTTATCCCTAAGCCCCGATGCACCACAAGGTACAAGTGCCGACCCGGCCTTGTTCGACGCATCGCGGATTCGTGCCAAGCTATCCTTCCAACAGTGCTGCGCAACCAGAAGAGAAATGGAGACTTATGAGACCAGGAGCCCTTTCACAACATCCTCAACCGCTAGCAACCCGGACGCTTCGGCTTGAAATTGGAGCATGAAGCGTTGAGTTAAGGTCAAGGGACCAGTCTTCCCAGCATGCAGACACCGAAAGCTGTTTTCACCAGCTCTTGATGCTTTCTGCTACATACCACAAAAGTCCATGAAGGCGCCTGTCTGTCGTGCCCTCCAAAATGAATATGTCCAACAAAAACAAATTCACGCGACAAACTGCCAAGTCACGGAACCTAGAGCCTGGTTACATCAAGCCCAGCAAACAATGAAACAATCATGATGTTGGCACTTGCAACGAGGCAAGAGGCCCAGCCAAGCCCAGCAACAGCCGTGACAAGCCTCATCCTCTGCAGTTCTTCGCAAAACCATCGTGAGACTCGGCCGGTCCCTTCATACTGCTGAGCATGCGGACAACAATGGGTCTGTGACGAGGGACGTGTGGCGCCTGATACTCCCAATATCACCCTCCGAGGGCCCCAGCATGATCCCGTAAAAGCAAGAAGTGAGCCTAACAGGACCCCAATAAAATTGCGGACAACAAGGCCCTGGTCAGCCTAACCACAGCGCCTCCACACGCTCCACCCCACCACAAGATTTGGCGACGCCACGACCGCCACCTGTGGGACCTGGGATTCATTGGGATGATAACAGAGAGAAAATGATAAGGAGCTAGAATTGTGTTTGGTGGATTTGTTTTGCTGCGCTTTGGCGTTTCTGCTTGGCAAACCCAACTTCCTTGGTCCTGGAAGCCTCAACTACTCCTTTTACAGCAGTTGGAATAAGATGTATGACAACAATGGCAAAACTAATGATGAGCCGCATACGGAACACAAACAATACGAGTGACTGTAGCGATATCACTAGCAGCGACAACAGCACCAGCAATAACTGCATCGAGAGCAATCGGAACAAGAAGAACAACACTACCTACGGCATGAGTATCAATAATGTGGCTGATGAACGCAGCAACACTAGACATAATAGTAGTAGAGTTGCAAGTTTAGCAATGGTAGTCGTAGCAGTGGTGGTGGCGGCAGCGGTGGTGGTGATGGTGGCGGGGCGACAGCGGCGGCGGCGGCGGTGTTGCCCATCTTTGCTCAGCAGATAATATTTAAAAACATATACTCCGCAGAATGCTAATCTTCAACGCAAAACAATCACCCCAGCTAGCCTTATCGTCAGAGTGCCCAGTAACCAACGCTTTCTCAAACAAAGGGGCCCCCATGAAGAACTAACAGAATCTTGAATAAGGGAAGCCGTCCTCCTAGTCAAGCGTTGACTTCTGGGCGATTTCAACGACATGCGGAACCGCATGTACCCTTCACCTGTAACTGGATCTGGCAATGAGGATTTCCTACAAGTTCACTGGAGACCGCGACTTTGAGAACATCCCTTTATTTCACATGTTAATTAGATCCCCGCATCACGACCTTTTTAGCAAGGGCCTTACCAAATTCAAGACCTCATAAGAGACCCTCATTTTGAAGTTCAAGAGCCTTGCTCCAAAAAGCGTTAACAAGCAACCAGGACCCCGAACCCCAAACTGGATCACCAACCCTACACCTCAAACTCCAGATTACGATTGCTATTACTATTAATATTACTATTAGTACTATTACTATTACTATTACTATTACTATTACTATTACTATTACCATTACCATTACCATTACTATTACTACTAGTATTACTGTTACTATTACTTCATACAGACATGTCCTGGAGTTCAAGTACCTGCAAAGTTCTCCCAGAAATCCTCCTGGGGCAAGGGCCGTAGCCGTTTCCTCCGATCCCGTGGCGGTCGTACCAGTTGTAGTCCATACCTAGGAATGCTAAGCGTGCCATTTGGGGTTCAAGTCTGTCGGGCTTCTACAGATTTAGGCGCTTCATATTCAGGGCTTCTAAGGTTTTGGTGCTTGGAATAATGTAGAGTTTCTAAAGCTTTGGGGTTTGAAGGTTGGCAGGAGTTTGGAGCCAAGCTGATTGGGCATTCGCGGATGGCCTCTTCGACCTGCTACATCCTGCTATACATAGTCTCTGGACACGCTGTCAGTCCCACGGATCCACGCACAATTACAGGAAATCCTTCTTGCAGAGGCCACCATCCTGTTTATTCTACATCTCAAGAGGTTCAGTTTGGGCTACTTCAGTTCGCAAGCGTGGTCCTTAAACGACCAAAGTGACAAGATCCTTGTCATGAAAGGTGTCAGCTCTTTCAGTTTGAAACATTCCCAAGGTGCTTCTACTGCTTCTATCCTTACACTTCATAGTGCCATGGGCAGCTAGTACCACAAGCATTGCGCTGTTCGCGATAAAGCCCCTTACTAATCCCTAAACCTTTAACCCTGAACCCGAAACCCTGAACCCTAAACCTTAAACCCCCAAAAAACCCTCAACCTGTCAGAGCCTAAACCCGCAACCTGTAAGGTGGGGGGCCTGAGCTCACTACTTAGCTTCTGGTTTTAAGGTTTAGGGTTTAGGGCCTACTACTCTCAATACCTCAAAGGAGGCGTATGGGGGATTTTATATGTAGGGGAATATAATACGGGTTATCATGGGTGATGCTACACTGAACCTCTGAGGGACTAAACCTTCGCTGTTACTTCCCTCACTTGCGTAATGTTTTTTGTGGTGGTTGAACCTAGTAAGATTATTTTCCTTATATAAAATACTATACCCCAAAAGGAGGATACAATCTTACTCTATAATGGGTACCATAGTATCCCCAAATAAGAAACCCTAAACCCCTAAACCCTAGAGCCTACACCCTAATAAATACTACTCACTTGCAGGCCATCGGCTGATCAACTCAAAGTCCAGCTCCGGGATCGTGTAGTAGTACGTGAAGTCCGGCAAGTGGAAATTCCTCTACACTCCCCCAAACTCTCATGGAAACCCATATGGCCCGGGTTAAATGAAGAGTAATTTCTGAAGCGCTCCTTTTGGGATTCCCTGTGAGTTTGCTTCTGGATGAGGATGATAAGACCAAAGGAGAAACTGATGACACTTGCGGGAAGAATCCATGATAATCTAGATACACGACTAGAAATGTAAGAAAGGAACTGTGGAAATGTTCCTCTGGTGGAGGTGACCACAATGGCTGCTTGCCATAGGTATACAGGAACGACTTGTCCTAGCAACGCCGGTGTAAGTCATCTTCATCTCCTTACAATACGTTCAGGCAAGGCTTGAACACTGATATCTCTTACTGACTCCTATATACCTCCAGCAGTTACAAACCACACCACAAAGACCATTGGCAAGAAACCCTGTGTCCTGCGCAGGTCCCCGTCAATGCCGCCCTTGTCGACATTGAGCTGGTTGCAGGAATACCTGTGAGAACAAGGGAGTGAATCACAGATGATAGGTTCCTCATTTATTCCCGCCAAGAAAGCACTCCACTTTAGGTTTGACATGACGTTGGTTTGTGGACAGCTCTTGGGCCACAACCTCTCGGGGCAAAGCAGCTGCAATTCCTCGAAGTAACATTCCCAAAAATATCCGGCCGGGATACTCGAATCCTTATTAGGGACCCCAACGTGAGGCAGACAGAACCCCAAAATCAAGAAAACAATTAAAAATTCCTCCCTAAGATGCACAAGTGGTAAACCCTTCCACAAACGAGCCAAACCGGGGAAGTCGCTCTGCTATAACTAGGTCAAAGAATCTGGCAAATGTTGTGCCTGAAGTGCCACTCATAGAATATTTAGCGGCGCTGTACTGCCTCCCTAAATGCTCTTTTGCTTGGGAGCAAATGTTTCCTCCTTCAGACACCCAAGGAATCTTGTATGCGGCTGAGATGTTAAGATAGGCCAGCCTCAACATTATTGGCCCTTTTCAAGGCCTAAACTCTAAAACGGCATCTACTATGGACGTAGTTGTTTGAACTCACTCCGATTGTAAGCTCAGACCAAGCCACGACTGGTTAGCCGTGGAGTATGGCCGGGCACCGCCGCAACCAGCAGCCGTGCTGTCAGCGTTCGTGCAGCGGACCCTGATGGCGGGTGCAGTAATGAGGTAGAGGGATGTAGAGGGTGATACGTGTAGTACTCGTAATACTAGTAATGAAATCAGAATAACAACAACAGCGATTGTAAGAATCATGAAGATCATAATCAAAGTTAACAACGGCACAACAAAAAATACAACTAGCAAAACATCTTACTCATTCGATGTGAACCTTTGAAGTTCAGGCACGAGTCTATGAAACCAATGAACAAAAACTCATAATCCTGCAAAATTATTCCAGTCACATCGGGAAATCCACAAATCAAGTCGGTATCTCCCAGCGCAGGGATTTCTTTTTGAAACTTCTTGGTTTGTTTGGCAAGATTTAAGGTCCCTCCCTGGATGTCATTGCGATACGGCTTCTGTCAACATGAGGGCAGGACACCCCGAAAAGTAACAATGACATGCAATAACCAACATGAAGCCTCCGCATGGGTAAAGGGGTTCTCATGGAACCTGAGGCAGACTGGCAACCCTTGACTTCGTAGCACACAGGTCCCTTGATTCTCAACCCATGACACCCAACAACTGGCTGCTTGCACGCCTCTCATGGAAGAAAGGGCAGAGGCAGTCTGGGTCATCGTTTCCGAAGTCGTGGTTGCCAAGGCAGACGAACCAGGGGTAGTCCGCAAGCTCTTGATAAACCTGAGGAATCTGTGCCAGACTCGGTCCTCCACGTCTCATGAAAAGGAAATGGGTGGCTCTCAAAATTATGGTCCCTTTTCGGATCCCTATTATAATACGGCAGCCAAAATTTAGGGTACCCAAAAAGGGACCATAATTTTGACAACCACCCAGATGGTGTTTGTGTATCTGCCTCAATTAACCTACGATTCTGTAGCGTCTCAAGTTACGTCGAAAACGAGATGCTCACGAGCGTGCTTGTCCTAACGTTACACACGCCAAGCCCCACCTTCCTATACTTTCCCTAAACCCTAGACCCATAAACCCAAAACCCATAAACCCTAAACCCTCAAAACTCTGAAAACCCTTAACCCTGAACCCTTAGCCGACTCTGGCCTTTACACTGGGTAACTCAAGGAATCCAAGCCGGAAGTAGCGAGAAATAATAATGATAATACGGGGAATAGCAAAAAAATAGAAATACCAGAAATGTTAATAACAACCGTAATAACAGTAATAAAAGCTCCTTGTGATAATACTATCAATAATGGACACATTAGTAGTAGTAGTAGTAGTAGTAGTAGTAGCAGAAGTAGTAGTAGTAATAGTAGTAGTTGTTGTTGCTGTTCTTGTTGTTGTCAATTTGTACTAGTAATAGTAGTAAGCAAAGAAAAAATAGTAGTAATAATAATTACAATAATGGTGACTTCTGTTCTTGACTGCAGCTCCAGGCACCGTCTTCCACCTTGGCGCTCGTTCGGGGATCAAGGTTGAGACATGCATCCCAAACTAACATACATGCGCAGAACAACCGAGAACCGCAGCGAACCAGAAAGATAAAACGGACAAGTTGGCCGGAATCACTCATGCTCATGGTTTGGGAAATGGTGCAGCTCTGCAAACAAAAAGTTGCAGGCGTCCACTAGCAACATCGCAATGCTGCGCGACAAGGAGGCCTAGCCCGTGGGTAGGGCAGGGGGGAGGGGGCTGGATCGGGGCGGCGAGGGGGAAAAGGTTGAAAAATATCTTTATAAAAGGCTCTGGATGCCCTGGAATCCCTTAATACTTGCACGTCTATTATCCCCAAGAAGGGGGCGGGGGAGGGGTGGGAGGCCCTAGGGGCAACAATTGCATGTAACTCCTCTCCTGGAAAACACTCTGTCTCGCCAAGACCGGCAATCTTGACTGAATTCCCTCCAAAAAGCCTGCTACTACCATCCCCGCAACCACGAACATCACCAGAGAGCATGCGCCCCTCCTTGCGGCCATGCTGCGTTGAATCAAATCTCCCGGGGCTCGCACCCGTCCTAAGTTGCAAACATGTAGAGGCTTCTGAAAGCAAGGGTGCTTCAGGAGCGCAATTCTGAAGGATCGTGCAGATGCACACGGATTTTTTACAGAGCGTACCAGGCTTGCGTGAAACTACTGCATACAGCTGGGTTTTGAAAAGGCCCTCATCATGTATCCGGAACTTATGTTGTACGGACAACAAAATCATCATGGGGATGCGCGCGTTGCATGGAGATATCCCCAACCTAAGTTTTGTGCACACCATTTACTTATACGACCATTGCCGGAAATTCTCGAAGAAAGATTAGTGAAAGATATCGAATGCTTTCTGAAGGATCAAAGGAAGCAATTCTGGTTCATGCTTTCTGGAGTATATCAGAACTAGAAAAGCTTCGGCAAAATCCTGCACCCTGCAAAACCATGCCAACACCGGGACGGGGTTGATGGGTCCGGGCTTAGGGGGCAGACGCAAAATTAGCCGATTCCCCAAAAACACTTTCGGCCGCACAGTCTGGCTTGGTAGCCCAAATTTTGACCAAAACCACAGCCCAGAAACCAGTAAAAGTTGTCCCCGACCAGCAGGATGAAGAGAAGCGTCGACCTGTGCACTCGTCAGGAAGTTTTGCCAACATTGGTGCCGGAGCATTCAAAAGCGCAGTTGGTGCATGATTGCAATCAAAGCTTTTACATCTCATACCCCTAGAAAACAGGGCCATCATAAGCTTGTTGGCAATGTACTGGCAACGCTGCTTTCTGGGGAATGAGAAAAAAAACTTCACAGCAGCTGCCGCAACAATAGCAGCGACTGGGAAAAGCGTTTGGTGTTGTTGTGCTCTCTGTGTTTCTGTTGATGTTGCTCGGTGGTAGAAAACTCTATCCGGAAACATGAAAACATGGTGGCCCCACTCCGCAGCATAGCACTTCCAAACATCTTGAAGGGTTGGGCCTGGGGTTGGCTTCCTTCCTCTTCCTCACGTAGTCCTTCATCTTGTTTGCCACTTGCCACCTCAAGACATTGAAGACCCGGGATGGAGGCTGAAGGTCGGGGGTGGCAATTAGGCTTGAGACATCACACGGGGACGCACGAGGAAAGATGACGTTTGTTGGCATCTTCATCATCGAAAATTCAAAAAGCCAACTCTATGATCACAACATGGGCATGAGACCATATAACACGTCATATGAGCAGCTCTTTCAAAACTTGTGCAAGAAATCTGACTTTTGAGCTCTCGGCTTTCACCGCAATTCAATTCGGACACCCCGACAAATCTTGCAGATCCTAATTCATAGAACAACCCACGAGCTTGCAACGCTAAACTGAAAAAGCTAAGCGGCGGTTAGCTACTCAAAAACAAACGGAATGACCTAAACTAGTACTGCCCAGAGGAACGAAGATCACGGCAAGGCAGAGAACCCAGCCAAGTGGAATGATTAGTTTACGTTTGTTCATAAAAAAACTGCTCATGCCGAGAATAGGGGTCCTCCTTACAGACTGCCAAATACCGAAACCGTCTAATGTGACCTCTCAGAAAGCGGAACCCACTTTTTGAAAACCCACGCACACCTACTTCAGAAGCTCCCATATTCTCAACGACCATTTCATTTTCCATGCTATTTGCCACTCGATTCTACATTATTGGGGTACTACGCATGTATAAAGCCCAAAAACACCGTAGTTCTCCATGTTCTTCCATTCCCCTATATACACCCTGTATGACCCGATGTATAAACATATATATCTATAAACCTATTGTAATATGATCGTTTCCATTTTCTTTCCATTCCCCCACACTACTCCAAAAGGAGGCGGGAAGCTGCCACCCGCAGCAGCCACCGCAACCGCCATCGCAGCCCCCGTTGTCGCCGATGACCAAGTAAAAATTGTCTGACAGCTCGCCATTGTTGCCTAAGGCATATGAGCGATAGTCTGAACACCTAGTATCCCGCGCAATACGCCCTATAGTTTTTTGGCTTGCACACGCTTCGGTCGAAAAGCCGTCAGACCCGGAAGCTATCAACTTGCTGTCCTCTCTGGGGGTTTGTGAACAATTCTTATCCATTCCCCTCTATCCTGGGTTTTGGGCTGACTTCTTCTACATAAGGAGGTATTGTCCATCCACATAAGAGAGTTGGAGACGTGAGAAAGCTTCAGCCTTACTCAGGTGGAATTGGGGAAGGAGAAAAAGGAGCGAGTGATATCATACAGTAGTGGCTAGGTGGGGAGTCAAAGTCAATGCGGGGGATTCGCTGTAAAGCTTCAGCCATAGTTGACTCTGCCCCATGCAAGCTGGGACGTCCAACTCGATTTGGACCGCGAGTGTAGCTGTACCGACCAAAAGGCATAAAGGCGGAGTGATACTCAAGTGATTGCAGGTACCTAAAAATGTGTCCAAGAAGAGTAAGCCTATTTTGGAAATAATTCTGGGAAGGGTAGACAACACGCTGAGAATCGAGCAAACCTCAGCGGAGGGATTGTGCACTCTATAGCAAAAGCAGGATTGATATCAAAATGTGGCGTAAGGATTTGAAATGTACATGATTGAGTTTGGTAAGGTGAGAGGGGGAAAGCTCTACGCCTTCCATAGCATAAAGAAGGATAGGCTGAACGATGGAGCGATAAACAGTCAGTGTCCAAGACGGGGGAAGGGCGCGACGCCGTAACAAAGGCTTGAGTAGTTGTCAATCATAGACTTCGAGAGTGGGACGCAAAATTCAACTACCTCAACCCAACCCTTCGGAGTCGAGTAATTAAAGATGAAGGTGGCATCCAAGTCCTCAACACCTGCTAGAAGCTCCCACATCTGCTTGGCCTGCTCAGATGAGGCCGCCAAAGCTACAACGCCCTTCCAGCTCCCTGCAGTTGTGGCTTTCCGCAAGCGCCAGCTGTCTGAGGATCCGGAGGGCTTATCGCCCCCCTTGCTGCCCTTGTTCCGGACAACCTGGCTCCAGGTTTGCTCCGCCGGCTTGTCCTGGGTTGGCCGAGCAACAGTGGCCGACTCGCCGGCAGCTTTGCCTGGGGCCTTGCCAGCCCCTTTGCCTTTTCCAACAGCAGTGCTAGTCTGAGCCGGTCCCTGTCCCTTCCCGCTTTGAGGAGCCAAGTGAGCCGCCCCCACACTCTTTCGGCCGAACTTGGACACGAGGGACTTGAGCTCCTGCAGCAAGTTGGCCGGCTTAGTTGCAACCAGGCCCTTCAGCGCCTGAAACAGCGCCAGCATTGCAAGCCTCCGCCGTCCATGATGCATAGCCCGTACTGTTCAAGCGAGCCCTCACCTGGCCTTGCTGCCTAGGACAGAAATCAGGCTTTTGAAACACCACCACCGTGGGACGTTCCTCTTCCACCAACGCGAAGGCTCTGAAGAGGTTGGCGGTGCCCTGCACATTAATCGACCAAAGCATGTGTGGAACGTGTGCCCTACTAAACTGGTCAGACCTATTGTCCCCCTCATCTGGGCCCGACGCGGAGTTCCCGACTGGGGGTTGGGTGACGCCCATTTTTTCCATTTTGTGCGTGAGGCATTGGAGGACCAGGGTGGGGCTCCACCCCTTCTTCCGTGAGGTCCCTCAGCCAACTCCTAGTGTGGCCGCGCAGGGACGGCCGCGAGAGTGCACCTCGCGGACGTGTCCAATGCCCACACTCGAGCCAGCTGGACCCTCAGTGGCTGAGGAACTCTGGGCCACCAGCGGTGTTTATGCGTCAGGGATTATGGGCAACGGGCCGCCTCAGTGCTCAACTCTCGCACCGTCCTCCACTGCACAGCGCACTTGGTGCATGTAGCATTTCTTATAACCCCGACGGCAGCCCTTACGATCCCCTAAAACCAGCACCAAATTAAGTTCCCTGAGTCTGCGTGATGGCGGGGCAAGTCAAAATCAAGCGTGCTATACCATTCTCTTGGACCCCAGCTGTGGTGTGAAGCCTTACTTCAATTGTACGAGAACTTGGTCGAGATTGCGGCTTGTGCTGACAAGATGATGGGACCCATCCTCCTATATGAAAGAAATATAAGAAAATGCAAGAAACATCAGCACATTCTTGTAAGAAACTAGACCCCAGTCCTCATGCAAAGAACCCCTAAACGGTCAGTAGAGTGACTGGCGTGTCATTCCATTTACTGGACAATGGGGGACTGCCTGCTCTGGGGCCTGTCACGATAAAGGACACCAACATTGAATTGCCGCTCTGAAATATTGATGTACCCACGGGTTCTCATGGGCCTGGAATTGCACATTTCCTGGTACTTCTGCCGCCCTGAAACATAAGGAACGAGGTCCCTGTGCGGGACCTCCAAGTGAGAATCGAATACTACTCCAATAAGCTATCCCGGGAGAGATACTGGAAGAGCATGAGGTCATTGCGAGTTCCCTAGCTTTCAGGCATGAAGAACCCTGTCTGATAAACACTTCCGTGCAGTTTGCTGAACGCGGTTGCCGTGGTACCCCGCACGCCCCGAGCAGTAGCTGCGATGTTGAGGAAGTCAGGCGTTGTGTCGAAA